GCAGAGGCAGGAAGATTTCTGTACGCTTAAGAAAAGCCTGGTTTACATAGTGAGTTTGGCCAGTCAGAGCTAGCTACACAGAATTACTCTCTCAATAACGAAAATGAAGGGTATTTTTGTGTGTGTATGTGTGTGTGTGTGTGTAAAGACATGCCTCCTTGATCTAAGTGTAGGATTTTTATGAAAAATAATCTTGTAAATGAATGCAGATGTCAGTTCTAAGAAAAGAGTAGTAGAATCAACACTAAGAACACAGATATAAGTATTATATGATATATTTACTTTGTAACTGTTTTATCCACACATTCAGAAAACATTTTAAGGCTAAAAACAAGAACATGTAGAAGCAGGACCCCCTCAGTTTCTGAGATAAGAATAATTTGGTACTGTATTTCTTAAAGAAATATTGTCTGTAAATAACAAATGACAAAGTATTTGAATTCGGTTTTCATAGAACAAACTATTATGTAAAGTATTTTTTATAGTAATGAAACCTCAAATCGGCAAACCATAAGTAGGTGGTATGTTAAATAGCTATACATAAAACAGCATGTGCCAAGACAATTAAGACAATTGAATGTGGCTATGCCTCAACTAGGAATCAAGGATTTCACAGAAAAAGAAGGTTAAAGTTTATGAATCAGTATGTACAGAATAATTACAAAATAAATTAATTACCTTTATGTCAATAAAAGGAAACATTCCGGAAGCAGTCATAACTACTGGTCTTCTTCATTAATTATGAGATTATTAGTAATATCCAATTTTACCCAGTTTATTTTACATAGCTGTTTATATAATATATATAATTTCATTATGAATTTTATTCTTTTCCACTTAATCTCTGTTGCTTTTGCTAACAAGGATGATGACAGGCACATTGGAAAACTTAAGATATTAAAATTGAAAAACCTACATTAGAAAGATGTATTAAATATTGAAAATCCTATGGTACAAAGGTGTACATTACAGTGAATTTAAATATGTACATGTACAAAGGCATCATAAATCTAATAACTCTTGATAACTTACTGAAGGATTTTAAAAGTCTACTTCATGACACAAGGATCAGAAGCTTTATTGCAGTCTTGGCTTTGACCATGAAGTGTCTTCTGCAATTGAGGTAAACAAACTATAATATTTTAATAATATAATATTTTAAAGATTATTTCTAAAACTTTATGGTATGATTTTACACACATTCTGGTCAAAAATAGAAATGCAGGCTACCATCGAGTAGGTCAATGTGTTAGCCTGTCCAAAAGGACTAACATTACTATGCTTGCAATAATTATATATAATATAAAAGAAATAATTTAAACAACAATTTGATCTAAACTTCATATAAAAAGTATTGAAAAAATCTGTCTTGGGAATTCATTTAGTTCAACTTGTAAGAACAAAATAAGCTCCCTGCAATATAGAAAATAATTATATTTATTCAGCAAATTTATTTTTTAAATGAAACAAATTGGGTAACAGTGCCTACAAAACAGTTGGATGGACATTCAGGGAAGGTATATATTTTGAAGAAAAAACTCTAAATGAATATTATCATCTATGAATAAAAATCTACTTTGATCTTAATGAGCAGTGCCATACTTTAATCATAAATGGACCATGAAAAATGAGTTGAATTCGGTGTGGTCCTTTTCTTTTTGTTTATAATGAAGATGTTTTACAAGAAAAATGTTAAACATTAAATACTTTCACCTTAAAATGTACACTACATAGGAATCATGATGCATTTCTCTACATATAACTAGAAACATTACAAAGTACATTGTTACTCATGTGAACATTGTCCTGATGATTAGTTCATGATGCTACAACAAAGTACCACTCCAGATTATGAAAAGTATCAAATAAGTGACTCAGCCATAACTTGAAATCTGGATCTCCCAGTGAAAGATCCAATATACTAAAGAACAGAGTGTGTAGCTGTGATTCTCTGGTTCTTGAAACTTGGGGATGTCTTTCAGCCTTAAAAAAATGGTTTCTGAAATAATTTTATCATTACAGATGCCAACTGGTGACTATAATGAAAATGAGGTAATGTATCAGGGGAAAATAGAAATAGCAAATAGATTGAATGGAAGTCATCCCCTCTGTGTTAGGCTGCCACCCAGTTCTGACAGGTTGATGAGATTCCACATCTATGTCTTTGCGCTTTTCTCACTGCTATCATGAGCATCTCGGGAGAACTATAGCCATGGCAATGTACCACTGTGTGTGGTACTTGCTCACAGCTAAGTAGTGATGTACACACTTACAGGCTGCCATGGCTTCCTTTAGTTTACTGCCCTTGGACTGTACATTTATAGGTTTGGGGCTGGCAGAAGCTATGAATTATTAGTACAATTCAAATAGGATTACGTAATTGTTATGAGTGCTAGGCCAACTCCCAAGAAAGGCCTGGGAACCATATTAAAAGGAAGAAGAATAGCAAACAGTAAGATGACTCCACACCTGCAACACTTTTTTCCACAATTACCATTTCACAATTTTATCAGTCAGTAAGTGCTACAGACGGTGTATAAGCAGTGTGGCCTTTCTTTTACATTTTCTGAGAACTTAAGTTCACAGTGGAATCTTCTCTTTCTTTATTGGGACATGTGATGGTGTGTAACTTCAGACTCCCTAATTCAGCCTCTGTGTATAAATACTTTTGTGTTTTTCATATTGGCTATTCTTAACCCGAATGTGTTCTTGGAAAAGGCACCATTTCATTAAATTGCAAATGGCTTGATGGCTTCACAGTCAATGAATAGGTATTATTATAGTGTAATTTGTGAGCTGTTCAACAGTTTCTGTATGTCCTTTGCTTAAGTAACTCCCATTCCACATTTCCAAACTCATCTTATTCAGTAAGTCTCATGGTTTTAGATTTTGCTGAAGGTATATGAGAAGAAACGATGGGAACTTTCCTGGCATGGTCCTAATGCTTAAATGAGCATCATTCTCTCTTCTGAACGTCAGCCACATGAAGAGTTCTGAAACCCCGACATGACAGAGCCATGATGTACCTTGGACACTGAGAAAGAGGTGGATTCTTGTTTGCACTTTGGATTAAACTGAAGACTGTGTTAAGCTAATGGAGATCCGCACATACTTTTGAGAGTTTGGATTAGTCAGACACTGTAGTGGAGACTGATTGCTTATAACCAGACTATTTTAAAATATTCAACTATTTTAAAATATTTTTTCTCCTTTGTTAATTTATATTTTATAAAAATGATCTTTTAGAAATCTCCTAAATCCTCCTGGAATCTTTTCTTTAGATGATTAATTTTGTTATAAATTTTCTTCAATCAGGAATAAGGTTTTATCAGTTACAAGTAGAGACATTGACACATGTGACTAACAAGTTAACAGTGCAATTTTATTTTCTAAATTCGTGAACATGTATGCAAAGTAAAACTTCAAAATGATTTTTGTAGTTCTAATTTGAGTATTTAACATGTAAGCAAAGGAGAAACGTTACTCTTGTTGCATATCTACACATTTTAATTACTTTACCCAATACATATCCCTAAAATAAAAGAAATAGTTTATAATATTAAATTTTTAATTTTATGTTTTTTGAGACATTGTCATGTTATTATAGTTGAATGGTATCTTTCATCATTGTATGTGATTGGCACATTCAGTTGTACTTTAAATATGGTTTATAGCATTTTGAGTGACTAGGATGTTAAGAAAACACACTAGTGAGAAACAAAATTGGAATTCATGTGTAGTTGTTTTTCACTCTATACTATACTCTAAATATTTACAGTTACTGTATTTCTCCCTGTGATTTAGATATTTACACAGGCAGAATGCCATTGCATTAATTTTTAATCAAGTTTTATTTCAAAAACTGAGGTTTATGTCTCCATTAAATGGATATGGTGTTAAAATCTTCTGTATTTGATGACAGCCAACTATTGTACAGGTTGTTCTTTTGGAAATAATAATAATCTCACAGCAAACAGAATTTTAAGTAGGTAAGTTTGCCTTAGGTTTTTTATTGCTGTGAAGAGAGACTATGGCCATGACAGTTCTTAAAAAGGAAAAACACTTAATTGGGATGGCTTATATTTACAGAGGTTTAGTCATTATTCTTCATGGTGCAGCACGGTGGTATATAGGCAGAAATTGTGTTGGAGAAGCGGTCTGAGACACTGAGAAGTATTGTGAGCATATATGATACCTCATAGCCTGCCTCCACAGTGACACACTTCTGTAACCACAACTACCCCAACAAGTCCATGCTTCCTAATAGCGCTACTTCCTTTGGGGGTCGTTTTCTTTCAAACCCCCACATGTATTTCTAAAATACTGAGAGGAAAGGAGCATAATATGATACAAACACATTTCTCATTTTACTCAAGGGCTACATCAAGAGTTTTGTGCATGTGTGCATATGTGTGTATATGTAGTGTGGTGTGTGTGTATGTGTGTGATGGTAGCTACAACAGGTAGTTCAGAAAGTAATTAAAACTCCTACCAAGGTGTGAAAACTATGAACCACAAAAGTGACCGGCATGCAAAGTTACGTGGGAAGGTACAGCAAGTACCACTCATACATTGGCTGTCTAATTTGTGCCTACGGCTCATTTAAAAGTTGGAAAATCATGCTCTGTACTAGAAACCTAGCCAGCTTCCCAGGGCTAGTGAGGACATGGACATCAGAAAATATTCTACTACTGCCACTTTGCTAGACCATATAATTCTTAACTATGTTCTGACTCATATCCTTATACATACTGATAAGTATAGCTACCAGCACTACATATGGTAATCTGCTGAGAAACCATGGTTTTGTCACCCGCTACTGAGAAATCCTTTACTATAAACCCACGTTTAAAACTCTTTCCACAATTTCCTGATTTTTTCCACTTTAAAATGTGAGTTTCTTAGTCTTCCTAATCCCCATGTGTTGCAAAGATTAAAGTTTTAAAAAGAAAGAAGCATAGATAGCTAAATCTATTCAGAGTAAACATCTGGAGGGATAAATGTCAAAACAAAATCCATTCTCACTCTTCGCCCTGGCCAGTGGCATTTAAGCACATGGAGTCTTTTTGGGACAAGTTTTCAGTTAGCAATAATCGTGCCTCGGGAATACCTTATTGGCTGTGATACTGCCAGTGAACAAAGCTACACACAGTCTTCTTAATAAACAGAACCCGAAATCACAATTACATGGTATTTTATGTCAAAACGAAAATGATAAAAACACTTTGAGCTGAAAACTTACTTGGTTAAAGAATACTTGAGCATTAAGAGGCTTGCGCAGCTAGAGGTGTGAGGACGGAGCAGTGTAAGCTGAACGCGATGGCCCCTTTGTTACTGACATCTGTCCCAGCCACCTAGTATTGCAACCATTTTAGCAGTGGGGACGGTCTAAACTTCCATTTCATGTCGCACCAAATAATTTAGGAAATGATTAATGAGGTTTTTAATTATAGATTGAGTTTCTCTTAAAACGATCTGTGCCATTGCAGCTGGAAAAGATCAAGCTTTAATCACAGAGAGGTGGGACTGCAGTACAGCCAAACACGTGCATTCTGGGAGCCCGGATATGCTGGATGCCTGGCTCACCTTGACACGTGGCTGCACACCACCGTTTCTCAGAGCCGGGTTCAAATGAGGTTGTTGTGGTCACATGTTCACTCTCCACATGCGACTGTCAGCTTCACTCTGGTACAGTGTTACATTTTAGCTTGGGAAGCTTGGGCTTTCATCCCAAAGGTTTCTCCATTCATTTGCCAAGGAGATTTGGAAACACACACACACACACACACACACACACACACACACACACACACCACGCATGTGTGCCCACATGCACACACGCCACCCCTACCACCATCAACAACAACTAAAATGAGGATTCATTATGAAATAAAAATGGTTGCTGACATCCTGAGGGCAGAGGTAAGAGGGCTTAACCTTTAAAATCAGTTTGTTCACATTCTTCAAAACTACACACATCCATTTCACTTGAATACTTTTCCTTTTGTTCTAACCGGGATTAGTCCAGAAAGGTGGCATAGAGGAAACAGCTCTAGGGTAGAATGGGTAGAATGGTAAACCCTTAATTTTATTGTCATCTCTTTCCCAAAATAAATTATGACCTCGGACTGGTACTTCATCAGTCTATGTGAATTATCTTTACCTGGAAAGTTTTACAGTCACATTCAATAATTGCCCACAAGCCAAGATCTATGTAACTCTATTACTCTGTGAGCCAGATATTTGAAGTATCACTTGATGAAGCGGCCAGCTGGGAATTACACTGGATGTGTCTTAAGAACTTTAACTGGGATTACACTGGATGTGTCTAAAGAACCAGCTGGGGATTACACTGGTTGTGTCTAAAGAACCAGCTGGGGATTACACTGGTTGTGTCTAAAGAACCAGCTGGGGATTACACTGGATGTGTCTAAAGAACCAGCTGGGGATTACACTGGTTGTGTCTAAAGAACCAGCTGGGATTACACTGGTTGTGTCTAAAGAACCAGCTGAGGATTACACTGGATGTGTCTAAAGAACCAGCTGGGGATTACACTGGTTGTGTCTAAAGAACCAGCTGGGGATTACACTGGTTGTGTCTAAAGAACCAGCTGGGGATTACACTGGATGTGTCTAAAGAACCAGCTGGGGATTACACTGGTTGTGTCTAAAGAACCAGCTGGGATTACACTGGTTGTGTCTAAAGAACCAGCTGGGATTACACTGGTTGTGTCTAAAGAACCAGCTGGGGATTACACTGGTTGTGTCTAAAGAACCAACTGGGATTACACTGGTTGTATCTAAAGAACCAGCTGGGGATTACACTGGTTGTCTAAAGAACCAACTGGGATTACACTGGTTGTGTCTAAAGAACCAACTGGGATTACACTGGTTGTGTCTAAAGAACCAGCTGGGGATTACACTGGATGTGTCTAAAGAACCAGCTGGGGATTACACTGGTTGTGTCTAAAGAACCAGCTGGGATTACACTGGTTGTGTCTAAAGAACCAGCTGGGATTACACTGGTTGTGTCTAAAGAACCAGCTGGGATTACACTGGTTGTGTAAAGAACCAGCTGGGGATTACACTGGTTGTGTCTAAAGAACCAACTGGGATTACACTGGTTGTATCTAAAGAACCAGCTGGGGATTACACTGGTTGTGTCTAAAGAACCAACTGGGATTACACTGGTTGTGTCTAAAGAACCAGCTGGGGATTACACTGGTTGTGTCTAAAGAACCAGCTGGGGATTACACTGGTTGTGTCTAAAGAACCAGCTGGGGTTACACTGGTTGTGTCTAAAGAACCAGCTGGGGATTACACTGGTTGTGTCTAAAGAACCAGCTGGGGATTACACTGGTTGTGTCTAAAGAACCAGCTGGGGATTACACTGGATGTGTCTAAAGAACCAGCTGGGGATTACACTGGTTGTGTCTAAAGAACCAGCTGGGGATTACACTGGTTGTGTCTAAAGAACCAGCTGGGGATTACACTGGATGTGTCTAAAGAACCAGCTGGGGATTACACTGGATGTGTCTAAAGAACCAGCTGGGGATTACACTGGTTGTGTCTAAAGAACCAGCTGGGATTACACTGGTTGTGTCTACAGAACCAGCTGGGATTACACTGGTTGTGTCTAAAGAACCAACTGGGATTACACTGGTTGTGTAAAGAACCAGCTGGGGATTACACTGGTTGTGTCTAAAGAACCAACTGGGATTACACTGGTTGTATCTAAAGAACCAGCTGGGGATTACACTGGTTGTGTCTAAAGAACCAGCTGGGATTACACTGGTTGTATCTAAAGAACCAACTGGGATTACACTGGTTGTGTCTAAAGAACCAACTGGGATTACACTGGTTGTGTCTAAAGAACCAGCTGGGATTACACTGGTTGTGTCTAAAGAACCAGCTGGGGATTACACTGGTTGTGTCTAAAGAACCAACTGGGATTACACTGGTTGTGTAAAGAACCAGCTGGGATTACACTGGTTGTGTCTAAAGAACCAACTGGGATTACACTGGTTGTGTCTAAAGAACCAGCTGGGATTACACTGGTTGTGTAAAGAACCAGCTGGGGATTACACTGGTTGTGTCTAAAGAACCAACTGGGATTACACTGGTTGTGTAAAGAACCAGCTGGGATTACACTGGTTGTGTCTAAAGAACCAACTGGGATTACACTGGTTGTGTCTAAAGAACCAGCTGGGATTACACTGGTTGTCTAAAGAACCAACTGGGGATTACACTGGTTGTGTAAAGAACCAGCTGGGGATTACACTGGTTGTGTCTAAAGAACCAGCTGGGATTACACTGGTTGTGTAAACAACTTTAACAGGGTCTCAGGCATGTGGTTGTTGCTTGTTAGTTGTCAGCATACCTTGTTGAACAAAAAATGTGTACTCCCTTGGTCTAGCAGGTGCTTCTGTTTGTACCTCCAGTTCTACAGTTCTGTTGCTTGCAGGGAAGTATATTATTGCCATCAAGCCAGAGGGAGAAACACGGGATGCTGATGTTGATGAATTTGCTCACTAACTATATTTCTCCAGTTTATCTCCCCAGACTTTTGCCCTAGGCCTTCAATGAATACATTCAATCCTGTCAAGTTTTAAAAATTATTGCTCATCCTATCCACAGACTCATTTCAGTTTTATAACACATTATAAGAGTTAGGAGTAGGAAATATTCCTTCTTAAAATGGCTTCTTTAATTTTACTCAATGAAATTTTTTTTGAAATGAAAGGTTTGTGTGAAAACTTCTGCTTAATACACACACACACACACACACACACACACACACACACACACACACACATATCCAAGCAACAGTGGAAAGGGTACTTTAAATGCCCTTCCTCTATAATGAGATTGATGACTACCTTATATGCCATCCTAGAGCCTTCATCCAGTAGCTTATGGAAGCAGAAGCAGACACCCACAGCTAAACACTGACCTGGAATCCAGTTGTAGGAGGAGGAGTAATGAGCAAAGGGGTCAAGACCAGGTTGGAGAAACCCACAGAAACAGCTGGCCTGAACAAGGGGGAGCTCATGGTCCTGAGACTGACACCTGGGAAACCAGCATATGACCTAACTAAGCACCTTGAATGTGGATATCTGTTAGGAGGCCTAGACAGTCTCTGGGGTCTCTTGTAGTGGATCAGTATTTATCTCTAGTGTACCAATGAATTTGGAAGCCCATTCCACATAGAGGGATACTCTCTCAGCCTAGACACATAGGGACGGGGAGACCCTGCTCCAAATGATGTGACACACTTTGAAGATCACCCATGGAATGACCCACCCTCCCTGAGGAGCAGAAAGGGGATAGGATCAGGAGTTGACTAGGGTGTGGCGGTTATAGTGCAGAGGAAGAGCGAGGGAGAGGGAACTGGGATTTATATATAAAATAAGATTGTTTCTAATCTAAATAATAATAAAAACTCTTCTTGTGGAATAAAATTATTAAATTTCCAAAGGAAAACAGAGCTTACTTTAAACTTTATCTGCCTAAGAGACTGAGTAGAAGGTTCTTTTTTTTTATAAATGAGCAGAAACCTATTTTTTGTGGGAAATGACAATAATTAATAGTCCACAGAGTAGCAACACTGTGTATTGACAAATATTTCATTTGGCACAGTGCACGTGTGTATGTAGACACTTAAATGCACTAAATGTTACTGGTCTATTGTATTTCTTGTTTACATTCCTTATATTCTTGTTCCTGTACATATGTGATACTGATCATGCGTGGATTTTATATGAATGTCCTTTTGATGTCAAAACCTTTGCTATTCAGAACAGAGTTCCCAGTATCTGCTATAGTGTATGCTGATGATGAAACATGGTATCTATATTTTAAAAATAAGAGAGTTTATAAAAGATACAATGCCAAGTTTTCAGGACAGGAGATGTGAAAACAATAGTAAAGACTTTGTCTTCACTACTCCTCCCCAACAGTTTCTTCCACAGAGAGACACAAACTGATCAGGGAGATAGTTGTGTGTGCTGTCTCAAGCCAGAGTCCAAAATTAAAACTAAAACACTGAGAGTACTCTCCCTAACAGTAGAGGACAAACAAAAATAGCTGAAATTCCATGTAATTGTTGTACTGTAACTTGAGGGAAACATGATATGAGAAACAA